TGCTGAACCAGCCTAGGTCAACTTGATAACTTAGCTTTGTTGTTTCTCTTCTCCTCTGCTCCAAATCAGGATTAGGTGTTTGTGTTCTGTCACTGATGCACTTGTTAGAGCACTGAGCAAGAGACTTAATGTGAAGAACACTCTTTTACATGCAGAGCTTTTTTCTGATTCAGTACAAATCCAACTTCTTCCACTAAGCAGTATTTTAAACTTGTTTCACAAGACTGTCTTTTCAGGTGTTCCTCCTGTACTATTTACTAAAGCATCGCATTGAAGACAGCATAGTTGAAAAATCAGATTCCTGTTCTAAATGCCTTTTGGAATGTATTTCTAAAATTCACAATGCCACACAGAGTTTAGCAGCAAGCAAAGAAACACCAACTTTGCATATCAAAAATGATAGGCAGAGGAGAGAAATAATCCTCCTTGACTACTGGTATCTTAATTTAATTAGTAATTAAATACTATAGTGATGGATGTCCGATACTATGCAGGAAGAAAAAAGCTAATAAAGCCATATGAAAGATTCAGCTGATTTGTGAATATCTGAGTGGTGGTAATTTCCCCTGTAAATAAAATGTATTCCTGATGTAGCAATATATATGGAATAATACTGGTAAAAGTTGTGGAACAAAAAACTTTAAATGTAAAACTCCAAAAGCCCTAGCTGTATAAAGCATACTTCATGAGAACAGTGATGCATGCCATATAATGGTGTTTGATTGGCTTAAAAGAGCCCTCAGATCATATAAAGGGAAGTAGAGATACGGAATTTTCAATACCATCAGCATATCTTGTACTTGCTTATGCATGCCATGTGCTTTCAGTGGGGAAAGTCAAACTGCCTTTTGACTGTTGTATGTGATTTGGAGCTCAAAAGTTAGGGTTTGTACTACATTCACTCTACAATAGCAGGTAAGAGCTCGAGTGCTAAAACAAAATAAAGACTCGGAGGCCTTGTATGTGCTCACAATGTAAATGGTGATAACCAATGATAGAGTTAATGACTATATAATCTATTACAGAATAATACGCATTCCAGCAATGTTTACTGTTGTTTTTATCATCTCATTAGGAAAATTTATTCAGGGGCTCTTAGGAATATAATTTATATGCATTAATTAGGTACTCTGTATGTCCCTTAGTGCTTTAGGCATTTATATGCAGTTACATGTTGAAGCATGTAGTGAAGAATACACTACGAGCAGAGGAAAATTCATCTTTGAGGGGTCATTTAACTTTGTTGTGGGAACGCAATGCACAGTTTAGACTTCTTCCAAAGACCGGGAGAGAATTTCTTTGGTAGGTGTGTAGGAGAGTGACTTCTCAATCGTGTGTTCTAAAGTGAGAGTGCATTTGTGGTTTTTCTTATGAAATAACCTTCATATAGGGGGCTTGCATCCAGAATGCTATGAGACTACAGAGTTTAGAGAAGGCTATGTAAAGGTTTCCCATGAGCTTTGAAACAATTCCCTAATGGCAAGTTTATGAGTTTTTATATGAACTGTGATTTTCAAGTACTGCCATCCTGATTCATTCCACTGTTTAAATCTGCTGGGATTAGGTCCAATATCCCGCTTTCCTACATGAAATGTTCTTAAATATTATTAAGTTTCTAATAGTTGCTTTTTTTTTAACTTGTGGTTAACTGCAAAGTAGCTGAAGAGATTTGACTGAGTTTGACAATTATCTTCTTATGGGAAACAACCAAGAAAGTAAATGTTTCAAAACATTTTTTGTGTGTGGAAAGCAATGAAATTTATATCAAAACTTGATTATTGATAACATTGTCAGAAGTGGTTATCACTTCTACTTTTTTATATTAAATTTAAAAGAATGTTTGCTAGTCAGAAGGCAAATTAATCGTTAAAGAGAGCTTAGCTCCTGCACTGTGAATACAAGGTGCATTTTATCACCTTTTACAATATGTGAGGGGGCTTCTGATCAGGTGAATTCATGCTTGCTTAAGATCTTGAAAAGGGATGTGTGTATAAGGATTATCAACGAGCAGTATAATCTGGCGGAAGGGAAGAAATGGGGACCTGGGTTTAGGCCGTGGTCTTTGGCTCAGGGAGAGCAGCATAGGTAGACCCTGTGCAGCCCATGATGCATAGCTCAGCGTTCAAGGGGACATGAGCCCACCAGCAGCTCCTATGGGCTGGGAGGCAGGAGCTCAGCAAGGGAGCAGGGCAGCTCTGGGAAGGGTAACCAGGGCCAAACACAGGGGAGGATATTGGTCCATGAGTCAAGGTCTGGATAAGTGGGGCCATGGCCAGGTGCAGGAATGGCGGCAATGCAACAGGAGATGTAGCTCAGGGCAGAGCAGGAGTTAGGTTCAACTTG